GCTTGAAGGGAGCCTCCGATGGTTGATTAAGAGGAATACGAAACGAGCGGGAATAAAAGAAATTTGAAATTTCTGCACTCTGGATGTTGGAAGAGGCTCGGTCTAAGCGGATTAAGGGTACATAAAGACGGGTGGAACCCTCCGGAGGTATACGAAAGCCCACTACTGGGTTGATCAAAGTGCAATTGTTCTGTCAGAATTTGACTCATCCTTTGCGTCATGAACTCATCTTGAACATTTTTTGCAACCATTCTGCTTCTTAAAAGAAGAATACTAACGGAAGATGTTAGTGTGGTAAACAGTTAATTGTACAATAAATCCCCAATGAGTGTTCGGAGACTCCTCGGCACTAAACATTAAATATTTCATAAACTAATGATCATATGGGGCTGAAACAAATATCATTGGCTTCAGAATTCCAAGCTCTATCATTCTGCTAAACATCATTAAAAACTCAGCGTTACACCTGGGGACCTCTCCTTCTCAGTGCCCAGGAGTCTTCGCATACTCACCGAAATTTTCTGTACCCAATAAAAAATGAACGCAATTTTCTTCGACCACCATACAATGTCGAATTAAACATGAACTATTCACAATAAAATTCTCACATTTATTCAACGAATACCGAACAAATACCTCGGGTACTCCACATTCGTAGATCCCCACGAAGTTAGCCTAACCCCTTAGCACCGGAGGAACGTCGAAGGGCGTGGGTTAATACCGAGACACGGTGCACCTGGACGCGCCAGAACAGGCGAAAGAAGTATGATAAAGAAGCCTCGGTGTAAGCCGGGTACGATGAACGGGGAGGAAGAACGAACAGGGGGAGAGAACGGTGGACCAACGTTACCCATCGTCTGGTTTCCCCGGTTCTTGCCGGCTGTTTACAATCTTGGAAGGCCGGAGAGGCGGCGGTACACAGAGTGTGCTAGCCACCAGGTATGGTAGCCGCCTGGTTTCGTACTTGGCGAGGACGAGATGTGACCACACGGTTTACAACGCGCGGACGGTCGATGCACCGTCGCGACACGGAGACGTAGGCCGTGCAAGTAAGCCCTGGATCCCGGTTCAAAGAGGCCACTAAAAGGGCTTGCTCGTTCAGGACTAGAGTTCCCTGGCTCCTCCCTCTTCCACGAGCCCAGGCTACAAGTTAACCGCAAAGATGACCGTGCACGACGAACAAGGACGCTCCACGGAGTTTGCGTATGTGACACGAATTCTTGCTGGATTTGTGAACTGAATCGCAAGAGGATCGATCTGGCGAATGAATGTTCGACTGGTCCATTAAGTCAGGGAGGTGTTCGATAAGATTTTTTGGTGAGATTATGATCTGATTGAGGATTTTGGGAGGATTTCGACTGGACAGTCTAAGGGACTTTTGATCCTCATGAGGAACAGTCACCAGGTAGGAAGTGATGAAAAGAAAACGAGTTCGCCGCGACCTTCGATCTCAAGGAAACACCTGGTTCTCCATATTCGACGAATGATGTCGTTCGTTAGCTCGTTCCAGCGCGCCAGCGGCTCTCAGCTCGGTTGGAGCTGAATTCCTAGAGAAGAGGCGTTATAGCCAGGCGATGATATCAATAGCTCCTCACACATACCACGGTTTATCTGGCGAGATACGCGCTCGTGATGCATAGTTCCTTCGTGTATACAGTAGCGTTATAATGTTACAGGGGACACTGCAGATAACAGTACTTTCTGGCCAATTTCCATCGTTTGGAGAATTCACACGAGGAATTGAGGTCATCGAAGCCACTGAAGATATCGTAGATGAATTTTCAAGTGGAAGAATTGAATATAGAAAGACCTAATATTTCACACAATTAGCTATCTTAATCTACACCAGGCTCGACCACTCGAAACACAAGAACGCACGTGTGGTCCAGGCCTGTATTGACGCGAGGAGTTCAAGGTGAGGTGGCACGAAATGAATAGTTCCCTGGCTACCGTGCGTGTAACGAATTACATCATACGCGAAGGCTGATGTTCCACAATACCACGAAGCGAATGTTCGAGATGACGCGGCCCTGTGTGACAACTCTTAGAAGGAACCAAGACCTGCCTCGAATTTCAAAACGTTCCAGAACGAACGTGACCTACGCGGAATTCTTATGCGGAACAGAGCCTGGTCGTCTTTGTGCCTGTCTGAAATGGTTATAAGGTTCGTGCCGATGCCTGTAAACTTTAATAACCCCGAATTACTAACGACCTTTGCGATCTAAGATCAGCTAGTCGGAGGACGGATTATTCGTTAGATCCAGTGAGTACACTAGCGTCAGAAAGTCTAGATAAAACAGTGGATTTAAATGGAATACCAGGTCGTCACCGTTGAGAATGTTAAACCCTTTTGTCCCAGTGTAGTTATGTGGCTGCGTGCTTTAAATTACGAAATGAAATATTAATATCATGTATTTTTTAATATCTGTGAGTATGTAATAGTTTCTTCTAGTATTTTATAGATGACATGACACGAATTTTCTTATGCTCCTGAAAGCTTAATAAAGTAAGACATTAGTGTGTTTTGATTCCTTCATTTGCTGGAATTCAAGTGTTGAACATTGTTAGCAATACAATAGGAACTTATGAAACTCTAATTTCTTTCAAATATTCCAAGAGAGTTCACTGATCAAAGGTAAAGGAAAATGGATTTTATGTTAATCACTGTTAATTATTATACATAACTGTGATGGCATCGAATGAAAAATGGATCTAAACGCTTTCAAAATGTTAAAATGTCTTTGTGAATCATTAATGTGTCATGTATCAAAAAGATGTTTTCCTGATTGGTAGATAATATGAGAATGAAAGGGTAAATAAACATATTCGAGATTAATAAAAGTGTTCGAAAGGGAAAATCCATTATACGGTAAAAACGGGATCCGATCATCCTCGCGCTGAAACAAGGAAGCGCATATCGAAACTTTTTGTCGCTGCTGTATAATCGTCCCGCGGATCTACCCTGCGGTTCGATGTATCCCTCCCCCCTCGTTAATATCAGGAAACGGTTTTACGAATCACCAATTAGACTAGGAATTGTTCCCCGTTTACCGTGCAATAATCGTGACAGAACAAAACAGGCTCAATAGTCAGGCATAGAACTGGATATTCAAGTAGCCTTCGACCAATCGGGCTCTGTAATCTGTCGAGCTGATCTGGCTAATTAAACTTTATGCCTTCCGCAATTTTTGCCCAACTGCGATCGAAATGTCATTCCGTCTCTCCCCTTAGGGCTTGCTAATTGCCCAGCGCAATGATGACAAGTTCAGCGAAAGTCAACCTGGGAGACTACAAGACTATCATAGCTTGAAGGGGGGGGGGGGAGCCTCTGACTTCTTAAATGTCAATCGCCCGGCGAGTTGAGACGATCTACGAACTACCTACATACGATTCTTTCGCTTTCACCGTGTGTCAGGCTAGGAAGATCCGCCGCGGCAGATTCCGCGACGCTCGGTCGTTCTACCCTGGTAAATGGAGCCTCTTTCTCTTCTACCATCCTTCTGGTCGAAATGGACGGACGTATCAAAGGGATCGCGGCGCGAGCCGACCATTTTGTTCGCGGTGCCACAAAACCATCGTAACAAACGACGTTCCGGCACTCACAGAAGGAAGTCGTGCTCTCCTACTGTCTGAGGCACGTTCTCTCCGACGACGTCCAGGCGTTCATCCTTCCGCCCAAGCCTCCACTTGGCCTGGAGGCAGAGCCTGTATATACAGGGTGTTAAGGAAAAAACGATTCAATATTTATATGGTATCTGGACACACTGTACTGAGTAAAAATGCCTTAACATAGGTCGAAGGGTCAACTGTTTTATAAACATTTTTGTATGTCAGCATCATGATTGACTTATAACTGGATTTTTGATATTTACAGGTGTTCCACATGTCCTCTTATTTCCAGTTGTGAACTCTCGAAAATTCCACATCCTTGTCGAATTATTTGACTAGCATGATGGACTCGGTGACGTGATCCATGCAAGTCATTCATCGGCGAAGCACTTGCTATCCAAATATCCCCATAAAAAGAAGTCCAAAGGGAGGGCCTTGAAACTGGTCCATCACGTCCAATTCACCGAAATTATAACAATCTTGTAGAATACTAAATAGATCCGCAATCGCCGGTTGATGACAACTGACTGATCGCCAACGAACTCATATATAAGGACATTCAAAAATGTTTATATCTCAGAAACGGTTGACCTTTCACCCTATACTTACTAAAGCCTTTTAACTTAGTACAGTGTGTTCTATATACCACATAAATATTGAATGATTTTTTTTTTGGTCACACCCTGTATATGTGTGGATCCGTGTATGTACTTGGGTCGGTGTGACACACGAGTGCCTCGAGAGATATACGAAGAAGGTAAGGTAAGTGAGGCTCGTGCCCTGCCCGGTGACTGAACCCACACCGTATTTCACACAAGGAACCCAAGATCTATTCCCCCTGTGCGCGCACACACGGACACCAGCTTGCTCTCACACGGATCGGCCATCGCCATATCGGCGGTGTGGACTTCGAGGAACCGAGGAGAGAATCTCATCGGGGCCACGCCACAGTGGTGGCGTGCTCGAATTAAGATGCATCTACTAACTGGGATCTGGTGTGGCATGGCTCTAGTCGATCATTTCCGGTATACAGTGTTCCATGGAACAGCGTATCGTTCTGTCTTACGGTTGTAAAAGTATCGGGATATGTACATAGGTGTACCTACGGATCGTTCGGACCCAGAGAACCGGGACGAGCTTGTCGAGGAACGTTTTGTTTCGCGTGTTCGAGGCAGGGGAGATTTGTTTGAGTACCAGGAAGTACAGGCGAGCCAACTCGCGAGAGACTCTTCGGGTACGAGGAAGTGCTCTCGACTCTGTCACTGGGTTTCCGAGAAGACGATGCTCGCGCGATTGTACTGGGATACTAATTCGTTTGGATGTGACACGCCTGGGGGAAGGTGATTGGGTTTTTCGATGGAAGAGAATGAAGATAGGGATCGTTTGCTTACCTTGTCCTCGCAGGTCTTGTGGCAGATGTACTTGCAGACTGTAATGAAAAGAGAGAATTCGTTGTTTATTGTCGACTCTTTGGGAATTGGAATTTAATGCACGTTCGTGGATTCAGGTAATTTTTTTGGATCATGTCTTCACTATCATATTAAAGCAAGCTCTGAGAAAGTTTAACATTAATAGCTGGTTGAAATAAAAAAATGTGTTCTTATTAATTCGTGAGCCCCATAATTAAAGACTGACTGAAAATTGGCATCATTTTTTCGAGAGGGGATTCATCAACTATCCCAAAAATGGCTTAAGTGTGTAGACAGTGATGGTGAATATTTTAAAGACTAAACTATATTTTGTTGTCAATAATCTGCTAATTGTCCCGAAAATATTTAAATTGCCCCTCGATTGGGCGTATGCCCCACCTTGGGAAACACTGTATAACAAAAACATATTTATGGCTAATAAAAGCCAAAGTTAAGCAAAAGTTAATAATTAAACATTTTTGAAAAAAAATCAATAATAGGATTTTATATGTATACTTCGAGGAATAGAACTAATGTTACTTAAAGGATAATAGATTATTAGAATGATTTCTGAAGGAACGATACTATTATTGTTAAGTCTCGTTCAAGCAGCCCGCCACGTTTTTATACCGCTTCCGTTTTTACCATCCACCACTCCAGTGTACCGACCGAGTATCAAAGTTCCCAGCACAACAGGGAATCCCCTTATCGACTCACCTCGGCAGCACGATGCCTGCTTGATGACCGCCTGATGGCACAAATGGCACGGTCGCGGTTTGCGCAGCTGCTTCGTCCGGAACACGTGACATTGCGGTTCGAATTCGGTCTAAAAGCATTCAAACACAATCAACATTAATTAAAACAACGATTACCCCTGGTCCCACGGGAAAAAAAATTGTACTCGTTTATTTGAAACCATACAAGTCGCTATCTGGCTCTTTTTCATGCATTTTTTCGGCGGTTCCCTGTAATTACCAGATAAGCACCTCTTGACTGGATAGTTTCAACGAGGTCTGAGACGTTCTAAATGAAACGTCTGTTCGAGGTGTTCGTACACCAGCCACGGAAACTTTTCCCTACTCTAGTTCAGAATTATTATCCCCAAGAACAGATTGCTCTGAAGCAAACAAGGGATGTTCGATTTCGAATCAATTCTTCAGAAGATCCATTCCCTAAGATAACACTGTCCAAGGGAATCGATCTTACAAAGAACGATCGTTCATCCCCATAGGAAATTCGTGTAAGACACCAACATGAAGAATTCGAAATTCGTCAAGAACCAAGGGAGTTCCGTTCGTTTTCTCGAGGTTGCCTAGCGGCGACTGTCGTCTCCCGTGATTCCGATTCGACTCTCGATCCGTTAACATCGTGTAAGCGGTTATGTACACGCACAGCACCGTGGGGAGGCGGCTCGGAAAGTTATGCGTAAAATAACCGCCTCGAGCCACCTACTACGGTGATGCGCGCGGGGTTTCCGATTACAGACACGCAACCGTGCCAGACTCTCTTCCCTGGGAAGTGGATACTACCTTATGCTTTCAGGCACGTCGATCGATCGATCGATCGGGCTGTTCCCGGAAAACAACCACCGTGGAACCGAGCCAAATATCGCGTACATCGACGCTCTGTGCTTGACGATTCGCGACGCGCACGGTCAATAATTCAATCGGCTTTCAGGGAATCTGATCGCGCATCTCGATACCACTTCAACGAAAGGAAAGACGAGGAGGGTGTTCGAGGTGTCGATCGACGACACACGATACAGAGTTGTTCTGTTGTACGTGTGTCGGATAATAGGGTCCACGTCGATTAACTTGTAACGAGGGTGGGCCACGCGGTTGGTCTTGAAAGCGACACCTTCGACGTGACGATGGCCTGAGGAATTCAGAATGGGCCAAAACTGTCACAGGTAAAAATTTGTCAATTTTCATTTTAACGGGTGTTACAGCTTGCAATATACAGATTAGAGTGTGAAAAATCACTAACAGTGATTCAATCACGATCATGGTCGTGATATAAATTCATTTGCGACCGTGATCATCATTTTTTTTATGTTCAAGGATCGGAACTTCGAGGTGTGGTTTCATCCCTTAAACTCGAGTCTCAGCCGATAAAAAAAAATACGTGTCCCTTATTTTTGACTGCTTAACGGACATACGAAGTTTCATCGAAATCGGAGGGGGAAATTTCTGTGCCTTCCCTTGTTCGTACTATTAAAATAAATACAATCAAAACACAGTATAACTGATAAAACAAATGGTAAGTTAATTCGTACTTCCTAAACAGATTATATCGATCGCGTTTTCCGCATAATAACGTTCCTCAACTTCGCATGATAACGTCGCGTAACGTTCGATAAGCCGTTCTCAATGAAAATACCCGCGACATTATCGCGGCACGCTGTTACTGTTCGTTTTATCGGGCAAAGTTTGCCTCGGTCGGGCCGGCGTCCAGACCGGCCGACATAGATTGTAAAATACCGAGCCATTAACGGGGCCGTAATATTTCGTAATTATCAGTTTTATCGTCCCGCTACGAGCCACCGGCTGAATTATTGTCACTCGCCTCGGCCGAGCCATCGAGGCGGAAGAACGAGCTTCCTTATTGGTTACTGTATGCAAAAGCTCGCTCTATTCCCTGTCATCGTAAACGTGCCCGCGTAGCTTACACATTTCTTCTTCTTCTATTTTCCCTATCGAACGATAAATGGTCCTTTTATGTTGGGGTATGGATGTGCACTGTTACATTTGTCCAAATTACTCTCTTTTCCTCTTAGTTGTACGTTACAGCGAAAATCTAAGTGAAGAAATAATATTACTGTTCCATTATATCGATACAAAACCATGAAGAGTAGGTATTTACAAATGATAAATATTTCTCATCACGAGATCTAGTGTACAGATTTATACGCATATGTATTTATACAATATTTTTGTATAAACTTAAAACATACTAGATACACGTGTATAATCTGATATTTCCAACAGCCTCTGTCCACGCAACGTCAGCGTGGCCGGTAAACCTGAAGAAAACGAATAGCAACCGAGCCATGATCGACGAGACGCTATTCAATTTATCGATCGTACAAGTAATTTCCCCTGTACGACTCGAACGATCGTTCCACGACAAACCACAGTCGTCTGTGTATCGTACATACATTCGCAATTACCTGAGTAATCGATGCCTGGCGTGGAGCCACTTAACTCTGCCCTTCCCATTTGTAAACCATCGATTTATCAATCGATCGTCCGTCTACTTCGACAACCATAAAAACAATCGATTCTTTCCCATCGTTTGTACACAATTTCACGGCGACTTAACCCTCGTCGTGTCCCATGATAGCGCTCGGTAACTAATTGCCGGATACATTAACGCTGGGTGACCCCTTGCTGCCTGCCGACCATTGATCACGTACGATAAATTGATCCTTAATCTTCGCGGAAAATCCATTGAAATCCAGTGCCCGTTCCCTTACCTTTCTCCGCGAGCATCCTCCGAGGTCGAGGTCGCTGTTGACCCGTGCACCGTACGTACCATCGTCTCGTTTCTTGTTTTTTTTTCTCCCCACTCTTACTTTTCTTTCTCGTGTTCTCTTGGGCAACGAGCTCGTGGCGCGTCGCTGAAACGCAATAATGCTCCAAGACGTCTAGGTGGTTTAGACACGCGAAAGGATTGCGATAAAACGATGCGACAGGACCAGTTCTTCTGTTGGTGTGTTTGCTGGTGGAAGGAGGAGGGATATCTCGTTGGATGGGAAACATTCGGGATGAACGATGGCTTGGAATGTTAATCGTTCTGACACGACCTGGAGCTTCTGGCTCACGCGGAAATTCGAGGTGGATTCAGGGGGTTTCAGGTTTGAAGAATTGAGTGCGATGAGACGAGGATGGTGGAGTTGTTGATGAGGAATTCGAGTGGAAGATTCAATAGTGAACAATTCTAATTATTTCGAATTTACTATCACTATTGGGGAGATATTTTCAGAATGATCGAAGGATTATCTAGTCGTTTAAGTTACGAAATTAATATTTGATTGACTACCGATCATCCCTTCATTGATCTTTCTTCTCTTCATTTTCTCAACACGAGGTCACAGCTCCGCGATTGCGATAAGTGCCCAGGAAAACGTCCACTCCAAAGACGATGGAAACCGGCGACAGGCGTTGTGTAATCGAAAACAGATCGAGCATCCACCGAGGAGATCCCACCCACCTCCCCAAACACAGATTCCTCTCGCCTATCGGGTGATACCGTCCCTTTCACCCGAATCTCCCTTTTGTGTCGGCGATCCGCAGGATCGAAATTCAATTTCGACTTCAAACTTCAATCTCCTCGGGGCGATCACAAATATTTGATGATCGAGAAGGATCGCTCGGTGACCCGGACATATCGTATCGGCTCGATCAGTGCCGAAATTGGATTCCCTGCCTTGGTGGCCAGACAAAGTCGCTCTCAAAACGTGACAGTAGGTACGTGTAGCATGATTCCACGCACTCGTGTCGACAAGAGTCATTCGGACTTAAACATTCGTATTCAAACATTCGTATTCGAACACTCGTATCGAAAAGAGTCATTCGAACTCAAACCATTCATTCAAAAACACTCGTATCGAAAAGAATCATTCGGACTCAAACCATTAATTCGAAAACACTCGTATCGAAAAGAGTCATTCGGACTCAAACCATTCATTCGAAAACACTGGTATCTCGTATCGACAAGTCACGCATTCGTTCGACAATTCGACAAGACTTGATCACAATACTCGTCAGCTCCACCAATCGAGGAATTATACGATTCATTCTCATTTAGAGAATATTGAAACAGTTGCCAAATATTAATTTCGCAACTGTACGCGTACCACGACAGTCGAGCTTGGATTTTACAATTCCAACCGGATTCGAAAAAGGATCCTCGAGGACGGACACGACAATGACATTAGACTGGAGAATAGATCGCAGCAAGGAGGATCTTGTCCTCGTTCCATCGAGATCCAGCCGAATTTCCAAACACTGGCTCTGTTAATTAAACGAACGTTGTTGGACTCTCGTATGGGATTGTCGAGTGTGGAAGACACTCGAAACTAGTTTGGATCGGAGTCGAACCGGGTTCAAAGTTCTGGCAGCCGAGTCGAGTGGAATGAAGTGCGTTCCCGTCTCCGGACGATACTAACCCACCATCGGTCCGGTTTGCGAGGAAGAAGACGAAAAAGGGGGGGTAGCGAAGGACGAGGAGTGGAACAGAGGCTGCTTTGTCGGGTTGTGTTTACGCTTTGACTCGGGAACACTTCGGCTCGCATTAACCGCGCGTAGATACAAAGAGAGCACACGGTCACTCTTTTTCCCCCCTCTTGCTCTATGTCTGCTTTTCAAAGCGACGCTTTTATCGCCCGTCCGCCGCGCGAATCCTTTTAATCCCGATCCCCAACAGTCGCGACAGACGATACATAGAGAACACGAGGGAATCGACGTTGTTTCGTGTTTGTTGGGCTGGAAACTGTAATGACACCTGGATGTTGTATAGTCTAGTGTCAACAGAGGCATAGAAAGCATCGATGTCGTGGATTGGTACAGGAGGATGACCTTCTAAGTACAATCTTTTGATATTCTTACACGTAAATAACTAATTGGGGCAATTTTTCAATTTTTAATGCTTTAATCCCGATCCTTGACAATCGCGTGGTTCCGTCTTTGTAGGGTTGGAAACTGTAATGACACTTGGATGTTGTGTAGTGAAGTCTGAGGAAGAACTCAGATGGATAAGATTGATTCCGCACAGAGGCATAGAAGGCATCGATATTTTGGTACAGAAGGATGATCTTCTAACAAG